ATAGTGTCCTTGTGGAGTTATTTATCTTGAGGCCCACAGGAGCGGTGCACTAGTCCAAGAATCAAGATCTGAGTTCTAGTCTTAGCTCTGCCACTGAGGAGCCACCTCGCCTGGGTTAGCTGATTTTTCAGTCATGTTTATCACCCATAAGATGACTGGTTAGACTGTTGGTTCCATTAAGCATTGTGAGCCTCTGCAGTGGTTACTCTTGAACCTGGATTGAAAAGCATCCAGGAGATAACTGATAAATGCATCTGATGAAATAATTGAAAAATGTTGCCCTTTGCTTTAATGATTCTTAAATCACTGTAAGAAAACACACAGACAACCCTAAAAGTGACTGAATTGCCTAAGTGCTTTAACATGGCAGAGAACATTATTCTTATTTTACAGTCTGTGTACTTAAAAATTCTTACAGCGATTTCGTTACTTTACTGGGGGAATAAAAGATAAGATAAAAATTCCTGCTAAGGAATTAAACTATCTGTAGAAGCCATGGCTTGCTTTTCTATAATGTGGAAATTATTTGATTTGCTGTGACTCACACGGATACCTCCTTTTGTCAGGGGGAAATGACTTGCGTTGTGTTCTTTGTTCACATGGCTCTGATTTCCTATTTTGATCCATTGTACATAAATGTAANGTTGTGTTCTTTGTTCACATGGCTCTGATTTCCTATTTTGATCCATTGTACATAAATGTAAATTTTTGTTACCTTTGCTGTGCCAGTTAGAAATATATCTCCCATGAAGTATTTCTCCCATTAAGTCTGATTATGTACACTTTGCCTAGGTCTTTCGAAAATAAAGTTTATGTAAATGTCTATTTTATATAAAATATGATGAAAATAATTATGTCTGGTTTCAGTCTCTCAAGTACTCCATGGCAGGACCCACCAATATCCATATCACCAGTAGATGTCTGTTTTAAAAATTTTTTAAAAACCGTTTTCCTTCCTTCCCTCATTTATTCGCTCACTGCATGACATTTTTCTGTGTGCTGTCTGCCCTCTCCCCCGTGCTCCACACAATGACTGTTTCACTGCTTACCCATCAGATCTGCTCCCCCATTGCTTAGCAGGTGCCTTCACCTCTTGCTTCACAGATTAAGTGAAAGATAGAAAANCCCCCATTGCTTAGCAGGTGCCTTCACCTCTTGCTTCACAGATTAAGTGAAAGATAGAAAACGGGATTCCCTCAATATCCTGCATTCCATCCCCAAATTAACTACGCCTCATTCTAGTCTGTCTTTTCTCTTATTGCCATAATGGAAGGGTCTGGATTTTGCCTCTTATGGAACTTCGTTCCATCCCTTAACCTCTCTTTCATCTTTTAACTTCTTCCTTTTGCTGGCTTTTGTCAGTTTATTAGTTCTCTTCTATCTATCTTAAAACACATACACAGATAACTACCATCAAAACCATTAATTTTTTTTCCTTTTATTAAATTTCATCTCCAACTGCTACCACATCTTTTTCTGTCTTTCACAGCTAAACCTTTTGAATAGCAGGTTGCTATTGTCCTACTCTAGTGAAGATACGTCCAAATTAAAGGCAGATTTCCCATATATCACAAGTCCATTCTTGAGTAGTTTTGTCCACTCCCTTCCCTGGAGATCCTTTCTTTTTGTAAAGTTATTTTAAGAAGAAAAAAGAGGATTCTTCCATTTGGGTGCTTCAGCATCACCACAAACTCAAGTCAAACCATTATCTTAGAAAATTTGAATCTTAAACCAAAGACCTGGCTATTCTGTGTGTAATTTTTACTGAATGGCTCTTTTTCCATTCAATGAAAAGGCATTATTTTGTTAGGCTTGTAAGAAACCAGTGCTCTCTTTGGGACAAGATCTCAGTCGAGGCTGCCAATTTTGAATTCTGGTAACGAGACAGTGCCCAGCCACATGGAGACCCCCAGGAGCGAAACCAGGAAACCACGGAACAAACAGCAAAGATGTGTGTACCACATGCAAAGGACTGCATGGGAACAGGGTCTGTGAGCCTCATGGGAAGGTTAGCCACAGTGTGACCAGTAACTTGAGCATTATGGGCCCAACTATTCTTGCAAAGTACATGTTCATTTTTCCTTCATTTCCCTTCTTACTTTGTAAAGGTTTTTTGTGGCTTTAAGCTAACCTGTTGCTAAAAAGAAAGAGGGCTTTGGGACCATTTGGGGGCTCTGAACTTTCACTGGAGCCAATAGGGTGGTTCAAATGGGAACCCTTGCGAGAGGAGTACAATGAAAGCAACACTCAGGGATGACAGAGGTGAGGGCCGTTGGTGGCAGCCGTCATACCTGGAGAGTTCCTGCACAGTACATAAGCCTGGAGGCTCAGCACTTTATTTTCACAGCAGAGCTGCTTACTGAGCCCCCTCCCACACTAGACACCCACTCTCCCCTAGACACCCACACTTGAAACCCAGGTGTCATCTGCTCAAGCTATCATCCAAGGTATCCTCATTTGGAATAATACTCAGAATAAAATGGCTCTGTTCTCAAGAACAATACAGACCAATAGCACTGTGATGACAGAAATGTTCTATATCTACACTGTCCAATATGGTGGTCACTAGCCACAGGTGGCTTTTGAGCTCTAGAAAAGTAGCTAGTGTGACTGAAGGAACTAAATTTCTAATTTTAGTTCATTTTAATTTCAATTCAAATAGCCATATAGAACTAATGTCCGCCATATTGGTCAGTGTAGCTCATTGTTGTGGGACTTGGGACATAAAGATCACAGAAACCCCTTTTGGGTTCATGCATGGGACAAGAAAGTTTGAGCTGTGTGTTTCAAGTTTTGGTGCCAATCACATTCTTAAGTCTTTTCACCAAAGATGTCCACTCACCCTTTATTTTCTGCTGTAGTTACATGGATCATTGCCCCCAGCCGATTGTCCCGTTTGTACCTGTACCTGCACCTGCACTCTCTCCACTTTGACTTCCTTCTGTTTTCCTGTGCACCTGTCTACCTCCTGCCTGTCTCCTTCAATTCGTTTACCCTCCTACCTCAGGGAGCTTTTGTTACTATTTTACACTGAAGTGAGACAACTGGGCCTGGGGGGTTGGTGTCCAGATTAATTTGTATAGAATGACCACTTAGCCTTGCTTGCCCTAATTTTCTGATAAAATATAAGTCCATTACAAATTCTGACTTTATAACTCTCCCAACCTCAGGCTAATTTATTACAACATTTATGGGGAAAATGCTGACATCATAATCTCATCATTGAATTAATTTTAATAATTTGAAATGATGGATCCTACAGCTTTGGCCCATTCTGCTGAAGTTGATGATAAATACTACTGCCACCCAGAAAAGTAATGGCAGCATAAACCCGGTCTTTCCTCTTTATTTGAAAACCCTGTAGTGTCAAGGGCTTCCACAAATTTCTTAGAAGAAGGGGCAAGTACTACGTTAAGCGTTAATGAGTCTGGCCTTTCAGAAGTCTGCTGGCCTGTGTCCAGCATGGGTGACCAGCCTCGTTGCCCCTGGGCTTGGCCACTCTCCCAGGCGTTCTAGGCCTCTGATGGCCTTGCTCCCGGTCTGTCGACAGGGGACCTCGGCACACGTGTGAGCCGCCCTCCCGCCGCTGGGACACTTCGCGCCTGTCTCAAGGGCGGGATGTCTGGGCGCGGCCAGAGAGCTGCAGCGGCTCAGAATGATCGCGAAGAGGGACACCTGCGAGCCGGGCGGGAATAAGGACGCCCCCACTCTCTTCGCCGTTTCCACGGCCTGCAAGGAAGGAAGATGCACGGGGTCCGGCAGGAGGGGGCCATGGGGGCGCTGGCCGGGGCTGCTGCTCGCAATCACCGCCCCCGAAGCCTGGGTGAGCCCAAGTGCTGGGCGAGGCCGAGTGCTGGGGGGGGACGCCCTCATTGCTCCTGACGCCAGGATCGCAGGTGTCCTAGACACACCTGGTGGCACTTTGGGGAAAAGGGGAGGGGGAGGTGTACAGGCCCAGATGTTCCCAAAGAAAGGCAGGCCTGGGACAGATTTCCACCTTGAAATTCTTTGCACTGTAGAATTCTAGTTTTTAAGCACATCTGCTAACCATGTTTGTGCCAAGCAGCCCTAGGAAACTTAACCAAGTAACTGAAAGCCAAATCTCTCTCTTCCGGGGTACCCATGTTGTTCCCCAGTATCTTTAATAAAACCTAATTCCGTAGTCGCATCCTCTCAGAGTGAACCTCAAATCAGCCACCAGAGGCAAAGCTGACTCTTTCCTGCCCCGGGCTTGTCTTGTTGTGGCAGCTTAGGCTGAAAGGGGCTGGCAAAGGAGTCCCCCGGCAAGTTGTAGTCAACTGGGGTGACTGTGGGACACGCTCAGGAATACACTGAGAAAAGAAAGGGGATAGCCTGCAGGTGAGTGATGTCAGAACGTCTGTGCCAGGCCAGGAAAATCTGAACGTGGAGTCTTGGTAAAGCCAACTCTTAAATAAGGTGCATTTACACACATATGCTCTTCTGCACAGGACCGAAGTGTGGAACTCATACAGTTGACTTGAAAAGTAAAGAAACTGCCCTGTACTCTGTGTTCTTCTCTAGAATTACTAGTTGGAGAAATTCAACAGCTGGTGGACATTCGTGGCAGGTCAGTATAACAAAGGCTTTGATTTCTTAATCAGAAAATGGTGAAATATTTTGTTTGAAATATCAAGTCTCCAAGGTAATATGTAGTTTTCTCTGATCCCACTCTACCTTTCTTTAAAAAACGTTTACCTCATGGGAAATACCTTACTATCCAATTTATGTCAGTATCCAAAGAACATTACATCAGATTAGAAGAACTGATCTTCAAACGTTTCTAAAGGGGATGCCCCTAGGGGGAGATGCATATTAGTAATGTTCATAATTTTCTTCTTGGGCAAGTCTCCCTAAAATTAGGTAAGCATCACTTTTGTGGAGGAAGCTTCATCCAAGACAATTGGGTTGTTACAGCAGTGCATTGCCTGGGTAGCCTAGATGAGTAACTGGTGGATTTCTGTTACTTATCAAACCTTGATTCCTGGCTACATGACTGGGAGATATGATGCTCTAAATATCATGCAAGGTTCAATCTCAGTTACTTAATTCTGCCACGTGATCCACCCACCCGCTGATCTTCCTGATTCTCAGAAACTTGTCTGTTGCAAGATTTCCTGTGCTTCCTGCTGTACTAAACAGAGACCCCAAAAGATCCCACACATCATCTATATTTCTAGATTTAGTGGTTGGATAAGGGTGGTGGTTACTTACTATAATAAGGTATTAACATCAAATGTTCAATGGATGCTCTAAAGTTTTAATCATCTAAGCTTAAAGCATTAAGAGGGAAAAAGTAGTGCAGAAATAACAAATATGAGTGGTCTTCAAAGAGTTAATGAAAAGTTGTTATCTTGATTTCATTTTTCCACAAACTTTTTAAGTACTTCATACTATTTAAAAGAGGGTATTGATAAGAGGAAAGGAGGGACAGTTCTAGGAAACAACTTTTATGTCTTGTTAAAAATGGTATAGCATGTATAGATGGTGGTTTGTGAACAAAAAGTAAAAGCAACATTGAAATACTTGACACAGAAAGACAATTGATGCAAGGTGAAAGGGTTCATAAGAATATAAACATTTGGGCCGGCCCGGTGGCGCACTGCTACAGTGCACC